TAAATACAAACATTTTAAGAGAAGTTCAAAAAGCATATAAATATTCACATATTTATCCTTCAAACACAAGTTATAAGTGACATAAACATGATCAGTCCTTGATGTTCCAATGTTTTCAAGATGCGAGTACATAAAAGAACAAGAATGAGGAGGCGACTTTGGAGTATTTTATCCTCGAGGATAAAGATATTCTTAAAGAGGGCGAGAATGATGAGAACTGGGTCGCGATCTCTACCAAGCAGTCCAAGAAGCGCAAAGGAGACCCGCGCAGCAGCAAGCGACCATGCGATAGCACCCGGGTACGAGGAGGTTGGCGCGGCAAGCACGAACGACGACGTGGTGCTGCAGGTAACGCGATAAGCGATCGACAAGGTAGATAGCGCGCAAATGTGCGAGCCAACACGTACAAGACATACTGCGCGTGACTAGAGAGGCGACCGCGTACGTGATACAACACGACTAGGAGTCGCACGCGCGAGACCAAGCGACCATCTACGAGATGACCAGCGAAACCGCGCGAACATGGACGAGACGCGCTGGGAAAATGGATCGTCGCGCTGCAAATTGAGAAAACTGCGTCAGGGTGTGGGGTTCAAGCTGGGCGACACTGGACAGTACGCAGGCAAGGCACGGGTCGCGTGGGCGAGACAGTGCGACCATCGCGCTACGGGCCGAGAACTTCCGGCGACAGGCTAGCGAGCGAGGCTTGGTGTGCAAGACGCAAGCTAGTAGACTTGGGAAACAATCCTTAGTTTCCTAATTTTCCTATATTTCCTAATTTTGCTATTACTATAATTTTGCTCTTAATTAACATAGGTAATTGATTATTATGGAGATTCTTAAGGTTATAGATTTTTTACATTCCTTATGATTAGAATTTAATTCCTCATAAACTTAGTATTTATCTTCTTTAAGTAACCTATGTGCTCATCATTAAGCAATAAGATATCAAAAAAACGCTATTTCAAGCACAAAACCTCTTGTGTTAACCAAGGTCGTTAGTACGGGTTTTCAAGCACAAAACCTTTCAGTTCATTAAGACTTGAAGATATAAATTTTATGTAATTTTCGATAGCTCGACTCATTAAAGCTGTGGCATAATTCGTAATAATATGGGGCCGAGCCCGACTTGAATCCCAAGCATGTGGATTCGGAGTTCGAGTTTGAATTGACTTGAACTTAACAACTATATAAGAAGTTTCACTTAAAAATAAAAAATGAAAAATAAAACAAACAAAGGCCTGTGGTTGTGGCAAGGAAATTTGGCGGGTTTGTGCTGTTGGAATTTTGAAGTAATTAATAAAAAAGCGAAGTTGAGTCAAAAGTATTTGTGAAGCGAAGTTCAGTCAAATACGCAGCTAAGCTTAATAAGCTTAAACAAAGAATTCCAAGCCCGAGAGCCACCTCCGATAGAGCAAAAAGATTAATAAAAATCCAACAAAATTAGAAACTTTAAAAATAATGGAAATAAGTCGTTGCGGATAGAATAAGCAGATTACACGATGCCCAAGGGAGGGATCCAAAGTTCTGCTCCTGGCAGAAAAGACTGCAATTTTGCCAACACAACAAACTTTGACAAATCAAAGAAAGTGTCCGACAAAAAAAAAAGGAAATAGATAAGATTAAAAAGCGCCTCGATATTGCTTAAATTACGCGTTCATGGATGCTTTTCTTTTGAGTTCAATCGTTCTGTACTTGGATTATGTTTTTGGGTAGATTCGATTATCCTCATTGTTTTTATCGGGATATTCATAACTGACCATTTGATCTAATTATAAAAGATTTACTGAAATTTCTTCCTTATTGGTAGGTGCTACGCAATTATTTCGGACCAGTTTGTAAACCGATGAAATCACGAACGGTTATGGCGCTCGATCTCTGGTGACTTGCAAAAAAGTCAGAATGAGTTTCGACGATAAGTCTTTCGACACTCAAGTCAGATATTGACCATAAAATATATGTCTACTAGAATGCATAATATGAGGTGATTACAAAAGAACTTGGTAACCTCCTTATAAAAGGAGATTGTCTAATTGTGTGCGTAACTTTCATTATTAGAAAAGTAATCTGTGCATATCTCGTTTTGTAGTAGAACATTTCTCCAAGATCTTCTAATATTCGGCGAGATAGACTTACCATGCAAGTAAGATTCCGTTTCCTTGTCTATCAGGACTCTGCAGGTCCTTTAGGTCAGCGCGTCAACCTCACGACCTTGCAACCTTGCTTATCAACTTGCTAACTCATAACCAGAGGTGACTTGTACCTCAAGCTGTCACTTCGAGCTCCTTAACAGGGTCAAACCCTACTATTGAGGTAGAAGTTACACTGAACCGGTAGAAACCCGATAACCAAATAAATATTAACACTATTGAAACATTCGCGAACTGGTTTGTGTTCATTCGATTAACAAACAATTACTCCCTCCATTTCATAATAAGTGTCATTTTAAAAAAGTTGCACAATAATTAAGAATAATTTTTTTTTTTCAATAATAACCCCCTTTAATGAAGATAGAGATTGATGTGTATGAAGAGTGTATATGAAAAGTCATGTGTATTTATTAGCTAAATAAGACCAATAATGGAAAAATATGTACAAAATATCTAAAACGTAATTATTGGTAAAAAAAATATTCTTAATTATTGTGTAATTTCTTAAAACGACACTTATTATGAATAAGAGGAAGTAGTTGATAAAACCAAAACGACATTTATTATGAAATGGAGGTAGTATAATTTATTCAAACTCTGACTTATTAACATGAGAACAAATTTGTTTCGAATATGAACGAGCTTGAATGAGTTATTGTTCGCGAACTTTCGGTCCATTTATGACTCTAGGGGTGAGATAGCAAGTTTGTTCCGATATCATTGTAAGGTCCAAAGACCCCGTCCATAGGCCTACTGAGCTTGTCCAAATAAGCCTATAAAACCTAATTGGGCTTGTTTTCTGTATTCGGTCCAATAACTTCTAATGATGCCTGCTGCTTTCAACATGACCTCATAAGTACAATTTTACAGAGTAATATGACATAAGTTGCACATACATAATTGCTAAATATGTGAAAAAATAAAAATAAAAATAGAATTTATTTAACAGTACTATAGTGTTTAATGAACTATTGGATTGCATATAAGTTACAAATTCAACTATTTAGGGGATGCATGGATATAAGATGTTTTAATTTTGTTTGGATTTTTTATTTTTGTATGTGATATAGGATATTATACTAGACCGTTTTTAATGGATAAGAAAAAATATATTGGAAAATAAGTAGGACACATGACATAATGATATTGGCTAAACCCAACTTGTACACTAAGGTATCTCAAAACCTCATTCTCTCTACACTCATTACCATGCTCTCATATTGCACTA